AACTTCGTACTTTATTTTGCCTTTTCAACATTGATGATCGATTGTTACTTTTGTAGACGAAACGTATGTCTTGCGTATAAGATATGCTGGTATATGGTATAACATTAAACACCTAACGGGAGAGATTGTGCTCGATATTCGTATGGTGAAAACATAATCTTTAATCAGTTAAATTGAATTCTGGAGCTGGCTTGTCAGTGCTGCTAGTAGTCCTTTTTTATTTATGTATCTTTGTCATTTTACTTAGTTTCTTTTGTTACCTATTCTGATGTCGGACTTTTTAAATGAGTTTTACTTTGCGTATTGCTGTGCGTTTGTTTCTTCTACATTGGCTAGAGGTATAGGGGAGGCCTAAGATCTCAGAAAACATGTTTAACACGCCGCATTTTTGCGCTTTTCTCAGGAAAGGATCCTCTGGCTTTTGTTACTCTCGTATGTTTTTAAAATTCATTCATATGGTTTGGAGTTTAGTGTGACGTCCATTTTTCACTGAATTAGTACATATTTTTTTAGGGCCCGGCTGAAACCCGACTCCGGGTGCGGGATTATCTCGCTGTGTTGAAGACCCATGTGTGGCCTTCGTCTGTTTTCTGTCCTTTGGTCGGGTTGTTGTCTCTTTTACACATTTCACATTTCCATTCTTAATTTGATGATGAGTTTATTTGCAACCACTGCTTCGATGCCACTGTTGGTGAACGTTTCTCCCCGATGGTATCACCAGCTTAGTAGTCATCTCTTTTGTATTGATATGAATAATATTCGATCTGCTATTAATCATTAATTATCCATTTATTAACCTTTAAAGTTTGCGAAATACTAAGAATATTGTTTTCCCAATGTTTATATAACTTTATCTGTACTTTATTAGACCTTCCGGAATTTAAGGTCTTCAGTGCTCTCTTACTTTGTATACTAATTTGCTTTTTTAACTTTTCTATTGATGGGATATTTTTTAGACGAAACGTGTGTCTGCACGGTGTATCAAATTCTAGTGCATGTATCTATGATGAGTGTATTCGAACGTGATGCCAGGATACCAGTCATTAAATCAAAATGTGTTTTCTCGCAAATTTAACTCCTTTGGTAGATAAAATGATAATGTAAAGATAATTAGACAACATTGATGAATGGGACAAAATTGAGTATTTTACTTTTTGTCTAGGTTTTTTTTTACCGTCAACATTTTTATATACGGTTCAGTATTCCGTATGATTTAACTGGAATTACTAAAAATTTATCTTTCATTTGCTCCGAATTACATTCTGTTATCAGCTTTAAATATTCAGTAATAAAGTGAAATACAATGGCAACACATGAATCAGTATTTGTTTACCTTTCCGGAGCACCTGAAATCACCCCGTTTTTTGTCAAACGGAAGTCCCACTTCGTTAAGCGTTTTACCAGGAGATGACCGTATTTCAATACCCCAGTCCAACCTTGGGGATAAGATTTTTGGGCATTATGTTATCCATAATTTGCTGATTATGAGTCAAAGATTGCGTCTACCCATCGTGTAATATTGGTCTCATGGGAAACAAATTATCATCTGTAATATCATAAATTATTGCAGGGGTTTTACATGTTTTATTAATGGGAATAACGCGTCTGGTATCGAAGTAATTATATATAACTAGAAGTCGCATTCTGATATTTGAAATATATATATATATATATATATGTATTCCGATTTTCAGGAAAATGCAAAAATCAGTGTCTGATGTGTCCATTCTTCAAAATCGCAATGATATATACATGCATAAATTTCTGCAGTATACTGTGTACATGTATAAAGTGTCACTAACACTGCTCTTAACAGTGCAGCTACGTATACCAAGAGTACAAAATGGTCAAAAACTCCTGCATCAATTTCAAATCAATATGCCAGTTTAAAATCGGCAACCCCCCGCAATGACAAACAATCTTAACAAGTTCTGTAATATAGATAAAGTGGAGATTCCTGCACAAGTGTTAATGTGCTTAAATAGTAAACATAATGGTCGAACTCAAAATAAGTCAACAAAGAAATGTCAATACAAAATGTGACGGTATTGTATGATCACGAAAATACTATAAAACACTAACCTCTTTCAATGAATAATTCTTTACAGGCGGATAAATGAACACAAATACGAACAAATCGCTTCCTATCAGAGAAAACGAGGCAATTGATAATTAGTTGGAAAAAAGGGGTTAACTAAATTGCTGTTGAATGTAAATAAATTCAGTATATGCTAAATCTAAAGGACTCGGTTTGATACACTTTAGAGTTTGTGAGTTATCTATGAGTTTGACTGTCCTTCTCGTATCTTTCGCCCCTCTTTTAGACTTTTGCATTTGTGACATTTATTGCATACTTTTGTTGTTTTTCTTTTCCATAGGAAGTGATGAATATCAACAATGACTCATTGGTCATGTTGGCTTCTTTTTAAATTTTTGCCAAAAAAGTCAAATTCTTCATCTAAATTTGAGTTACTCCTCTTATCTGATATAATTTTACTATAAAAGTTAAGCTTTTAAAAAAATGTCAAAAGTATGTCTTATATCAGTAAGTAGTATAGTACTAGTATACCGAATCATTTAAACAATCCAATATGAAAATTAAAACTTAATTGATATAAGTCAAATAACATTTTTCTTTACAAGAAGAAATTAAATATATATATGAAATATGTGTTGATAAATGGCGTTGAAAATACAAATGACCTCCGCATAGTGTCTGCAGAATATAAATATGGTCACTATGGTCTTCTTTAAACCCGAAGTTTAACCCTCACCGAAGGACTGCGTCCGTTTGGATGTGCGGGATGTACAAAGGCTGGTCAGAGATGTGACGTTTGATATGATATATCGTGTGAAGAAAATGACATGCTCTCTGCACGGTAGGTAATTTTGCTATGATTTTTTGAAAGCTCTATAGGTGGCCAGTTGCAAGGAAAATTTCTCTCTCTATCTAATACATCCATTTTCCAGGCGTCCTTCAACCTGGACAGCCTCTTTTACAGAACATACTTTTATATTTTTTTTGTTCTCTCGATAAACATGCATGAAATATTTGCCACTGGACGTTAAATTACCAACAAACAATCAATCAATCTACCTGTCGTAACAACTGCTGTTTGAGACTAATTAGTTTTTTTTTAAATTGTATCATGCATTTTTATCTACTTTAAAACTCAATGTATTAAATGATTTTTTTATGACAAGAAACTTAGTATTTGATATATAACTTGTAAATTCTATCTAACGGATATACAAAACAGCAACACCACTGAGAGTTCCATTTACACAAATTCATATTAAAAATAAATAAAGATGTATTCAACAAGAGCTGCATTTTATAGTTAATAAATCATGTAGCATATATCGTGTTTATCTTCGATGCAATGATGTTAAATGTATTATCCTTTAGAAATATGCGGCCAAAATGTTTATTTTGTGTATTCATTTAATCATCTACATACATGTATATATATATTTAAATATTTTTTTATTGAAAAATATCTATAATCGATCATTTGGGTCTCATTGTTTTTACAAAAAAAAGGGACAATCAACCGTTACGTGATCATTTAAATCCGAACCCTCATTGGACATTTTGGTAAAGATTCTGGTCCATGTAAAAATAATTGCAAAAGATTTTAGAAATTACACACAGTATTAACTGAAACACACTATGGGGTGATTATGATCATCAAATGTGTCAATGCCAGTATTACTAATTCGTATATTCCCGATTGTATGTGTACATACATGTATATTGTTTTTCACTCCTATTTACATCTGGAACTTGAAGCTGTATCTGTTAAAACCATATACTTGTCTTAGATTTTTCAAAGACATCGACATATGAGTAGTTTAAACGCAAAACGGGAAGAGGACCACAAAATGACATATTACGCAAACAGAAATATTCACATTACCGCTTACATGGAATCAGGGTAACAGGAGTCTATATGTGTACAAGTACACATCAATCAAAAAGGTATACCTGTATGAAGATCTGTTTTTGTATAATAGTTTGCCGATTGCAGGATAAATGATGGTATGACAATAGTAGTACCCATTTTTGATCTAGACTATATACTAAATAGGATTTTGTTTCGTGAATCTATATCCTTTAACTCCCTCATAAGTTTAACACCTCTTTTCTACTAGTCTTTTATTATATTCATAAATGCCTCATCCATCGTACAACAGTAATGCACTTTCATCATTATACAACTCAATGGCGTAAGTATCACATACACATTGAGGATGTAAGATATGATTGTTCACCAAAAAGAGGAACCAGGAAGAAGACAATTGCAGTAAGTTTAATTCCGTTAGCTAAAAAAAGTTTTTTTAAGTATATTTTAAGTTTTTAGATTTATTTATCAACCTGTAGATTTATACAAAAAACATATACGATGAAGTATTGTTTCAATACGAATACAAATAAGGAAAAGGAGTTCATAAGATTTTAAATTTATCTCAATTTGTCAAGCAGTTGTGATTGGAGTTGTCGTTTTTGTCATGTAAACTGCGAGTATACTATGAAATTTGAATACACGAGATTAAAGTTAAATGGGATTTTAAATTATTGTAGCGGAACTAAAGAAGAAGAGCTGATGTCTGCTATAGGAAAAAGAAGTCATACTACGTTTTGTAAATTTTTAGCTGGATTTAATTGCAAAAAAAAAAAAATGAATGCAAAATCAACTGAACAGATGACACTAGAAAAAAGTTCAAAAAATTATATCAATACGAGAAAACAAACTGGGAAATGGTTAATGAAAAATAAAAAAAATAGCAAATTGTGGAAGATTTATTATGATAAAAAAAATTATGTACACATATTGATATTACAAATATATAACATATACAGAACTTAATTACGTTGTACATGTTGTAGGGGGCGTGGTGTGTTTCTACAATGACACCCATGTAAATGTTACATGTGTTAACAAACCAAATAATAAACGTCACATATCGATCAAGTGTGTATACAGGTAAAAAGGACATCGCATTTTTAGCATATAAACTGATGGCAGTGAAAGTAGTCTAACAAGTAAGTTTTGTAAATGTTCGGCATAATAAATAGGAATCTAAATGTATTGATAATTTAAAATGATATATTCTTTGTTATCTACATGTATTATATTGATTTGATTTGATTGTGTTGTTTTATTATTTTTTTTTTGTAATGAATATGTCTTTTATAGGGCATTATCAAACATTTCATATAAATATCTTTTGAAATTTAATTGGTTTTTTTAGAAGAAAAAAAATATCAATCAACATAATAAAAAAAAACTAAATATATATTCATATAGTTAAAATTAATCATATCGACTATCGTTGATTTTTAAAGTGTGCATATTCAAATAGTTTTACTTATAATTTAGAGATTTAATAGGTTCTTGGTCAAGATGATTTATCAATAATGTAAATTATATCATGTAGAAGTTTCTCAGAGACGGTCTGTGTTATGTAGATGAAAGTTAAACGTCGTTGTACTCAATCCATTCAAATCTCTCTGGTTATAATACTGGATGGTAGGAAAAGCCATTTGAAAATGTACACGCATGATTACAATGATATCAACTCATTGAAAGCATATGCGAAACGTATTTGAATAATGATATTTTATAACACACAAAAAATATACTTTAGACCAGTATGTTTATACCGTTAATGTGCACTTAACCTTGAACTAGGTTTGTTCGTTGATCTAACATTGGATTGCATATAAGTGCATTTTCCTTGTATATATCTATTTCATTATATGTTTCTATTCATTCGTGAATTTTAATGTATTTGCTTTGAGCCATCCTTGTTTTGGTAAATCCAATGCAGCGCTTTGGAAGCAAACACTCTTTCTTTTCTTTTCTTATTTCTGATGATTTACTATACATTACTTTTTTTTCAATAGGCTAGAATTTAACTGTTTTGAAAGAAAGATATTGCTAAGATAAATATTTGTTTTTTTTTTTTAATACTGCCATAATAACTTCCTTTTAATTTGTTTTAGTCAACTCGATTGCCTAAATTGTGATCAACGAAATATGGATCTTCAACAAATACCGTTTGAAACAGATTGTACATCTAACACAATAACTATTGAATGGCAGGGACAACGCGGACAATTTAATAATTACATTGTGAAATATAGAGACAAAGATAGCAAAGATGTGTTTGCAGTGGTGCGAATATCGGAAAGCAAAATACAGATATCAAATCTAAGAAATGAAACTTTATATGAAATTAAGATATTTGTTGAAGATCCCAATGGAGATGAGTCTTTATCATTCAAAACTGAAGTAAGAACTACTGCTTCAATTGCGTCTAAGTTACTGAAAACTGCTTCAAAGATATGTGATGATCCTGTCATATATCGCTTATGTCCAATTAAAATTACCAACCTTCCAGAGGGAATACAGATTTGCGAATTCTGTAAGTTACAAATGTGTATATTATATTATAACAATTACGTTACTGTAAATCAAATTAAAGCAAATTAAACTAATATTTTTTTTTCGGTCAAGATTTCTCCATTCCCCCCCTCCCCCCTATAAGTTATAAGCGACGACTCTAAAATCAGCTCAGTTAGCTTGTTGAGAGAATTGACATTTCCTAACAGATAGATTAAAGGGCTGTCCGATGTAAATCGTATCATTATGTTCAAAAGAATAGGTTGGATAAGGCCCTAAAATGCTCCCTCCCCCTTTTAAACTTTTAAAAATATAAAATTAGAATATATTGACCAACATCACAATGAATCATAGCTAATACAGTGAATAGACATAAGCCTATTGTTGAAAATTTATCTACCTACGTTTTATACATGAAGTCACAAACACTAATTTTGATTTTCTACGAAGAATATCAATCAAAATGGATAATTGCAATTGATTTTTTGACAGGAAAGATACGTCGACAAATAAAATCTTATAAAATAATGTTTGTTAAGACAATTTGTATGTCTAACTTGAATACTTAGTTTGTCGACGAATGCGCTCTATGTTTCTTGGTCCTAAACTTGGTTTAAATCCGGCCGATTTTGTCAAATTTAGACAAAATCTCTTATCTTGACTTATTTGGGATGTAAAAAATTAACAGTTTAGAATAATATGTTGACACACAAAGTTGTATGTTACATTGAACGTCTTAAAGTCAACTTAATTTTGTTTCATCTTGTAACATTGAACTTTATAATTGGGGTCAAATATGGTCCTTACCGAATTTACTCCTTTTACTAAACATGCATTTTTATGTAGTTTCAGACGTAAACAACAAAGACGAACGAACTCTCCTACTGCTTGGTGCCAGCGGATCAGGCAAAAGTACATTGGTTGATGCCATTATAAACTATGTAACGGATGTTTCTTTCGCTGACAATTTCAGATTTAAAATAACTGATGAGGTTGGTATTGCTGGTATACCACAAGTATTGTACCAATATTATTAAAAAGTGCTAAACACTAAAATTACAAATTATCATTAATAGTTTAGTATATTAGTTATGTTTTTTTTTTCAAGTTATTATCAAAATCATGAAAAACATGAAATATGTTTGGAGCATATGTCAGTACTTTTTTATTTGTTCGATTGACTATTTTCTTCTGTAATAAATTGGTAAATATTGCAGATTTCACAAGGAGAAGAAGATATTGTTTGTTACAAAATAAGAAGTCAGAATGGTTACAAGGTCGGATTCAACCTAAATATCATTGATGTTCCAGGATTCGAATCCAGATATGATGAAAGTATTTACCAAAAATTATTAGCTCTCTTTCAGTCAGTTCGGTATATTAGTGCGGCTTGTCTTGTTGTTCCGTCATTTTGCCGACTTACCGAAGAGCATAGACGCATTTTTAGTAACATTTTATCGATATTTGGAAACGACATTGATTATGTAATTCCACTTATTACGTTTGATGACGGTGGTGAAATGATGGCACTTAACTCACTGAAAGAAGCAAATGTACCATGCATGGGTCACAACTGTTTTAGGTTTAATAATTCGCAACTCTTAAAAGGCATCGAAAACAAAGAATTTTGGATTAGACGTCAGCATACCTTGTTCAATTTATTTGATAAGTCTACTGTCTTTAACCAGATTAATCAGTGTCAAATGGAAATAACGACACAAGTGCTCAAAAGTCGAATCAAACTTAATCAATCATTGGACGAAGCAAAACTTCAAATTCAACATATTGAACGAAGGCAACATTTATTAAGGGAATATGATCTGAAAAATAGTCAACAACAACACAAGGTGGACAGGAATGTGGAAGCCGGAAACATTTGCATCAATTGTTATGAGTGCAAAAAGACATGCGTTTTTAATTGCTCGCTAGTGGTTAGACTTTTCTGGTATTTTGTGGTTTTCTTTGAAGAAATCTGGTCATTTGTTTGTTGTATATGTTCTTGTTTTCGGTGTTGTTCTCGTGTATGCAGGTGTCCGTGTAAGCGCAGTAACTGTTGTTATATTAAGTGTCTTCAAAGATGTCTTGGATGTACATGCTCCTGTTCGTTATATCATCATTACAAAGAATATGGAAGATACAGTAAAAATAATAGGAATACTTTACAAAACGATCATGACATTGAATATCAAACTGAATGCGAAATACCAAACAATGACGAAAAGCTGCAGATGGAGGAAGAAAAACAAATTTTAATGAACGAATTAATTTTGATCGATGATAGTATTTCAAGACACTGGAAATGTATAAAAACAACTGCACTTCTCGTTGAGATTCCTGAAGAATTTGAAATAATGAAAAAAATCCAAGAAAAACTTGAAAACCTGTTAAAAACTTGAACGATAAAGATATGATTACACTATCCAATAATTTATTGCTATTAAGATAGGAACACTTTCCATTTATTGATATGTATATAAAAAAAAGCGGCAAGAATGTTTAAAAACTTGACAACGAATAAACAGATATAAACAGAAAAGAAATAATTATTTACCATCATATTTTTTATGAACTTAATATCAATTGTTGATTTGGTGATTGATTTTCTTAACATCTAATTTCAATATGTATTGCCCGACGTATAGGAGTTCCAATACAAGTTTAAGATAAATAATGAATGAAATATATCACAAGTAGTAGATATTCATATCTGTTTTTGTTTTTTTTTTTTTTATTTTTTTGCAATGCGTTTTCATTTCTGCACAGAGAGTAAAATCTAGGAATTATGTCCCCTGTTCGCTGAATTCAATAACAGTTTCTGATTTACAACATAAATCCTTAATTATTGAGGTCAAACGAATACACATTTTCGAACATTCAAGCAACATAAACCTGAATAAATCACCGAAAACGAGTAATGTCGCATTTGCTCCTGGCTATACATGAATGATACGATGATTAGTGCATCTCCATTTCATGCTGATAATTTTCATAAAGTTCTACATATCGTGTGTGTATTGTAATGATGACAAATTATATGATTTGCATGTCATCAAATATTTGCTTTTCCTGATTTATTCAGTCTTTGTTTGTTTCTATTTTCGAATATTTGTAACAATTTTTGCAACACAATGTAGATCATTGCACCTTAATTTTCAGCTATATACTCTTGTTTCTTCTATTCAATCAAAAGTCGAGACATTAATATGTCAAACATAATAATGAAGTTTTAAGACAATTATTATTATTTCGTATGCAAAGAGAAATCTTACTAGTTGTCCTACGAACTAGAAAACTATTGAGTTAGTATTGCTTTATTTTAAAGTTATATATAAAAGAGACTGAAGATATCAAAAGCTATACACTGACATTTAAGGTTGGATGACAACCAAACATAACGACAAAAAAGATGTTTTTGTTTTTTTTTTACATTTTTCAAACTTACATTATTTCATTTAATTGTTCATACCTACAAATATATGTTTATATTAAAAAAAAAATCCTGCATTTTACACATCGGATCTTAATACCAGATGAATTTTAAATGCCAGACTATAGTTTTTTTTTTCTTAATCTGGTAACTCTTATTTTCATTTTGTAATAAAATGTTGTAATATAACTGTTCAGATTGTGATGTTTATGAATGAAACTTTTGACTCTCCACAGCTTTTATGTTTAGGATGCCTCATTTCTTTAAAGCGAATGATTTATCACTTTTGATTATCTCTCAGTAAAGGAAATTGTGTTTTGTCAGAGTTTTATCTATATAATATTGTGTGTTTGTACGTATAAGGTTATTTTGTTTAAACATTTTTATTCTAGTATATTCCTTCTCGGATGCTGATTTTCATTTATGTTCTCTAACGAACCATTTGTCAGTCCAGTGGTTTGATTGAAAGGTTGCATTGAGAAGTTGTAAATCAGTTTAATCATATAACATGACCATGTTCATATCCAAAAGTTTTTTTTTTTTAACAAGTTGAACATAATAATTGTATTCATCAAATATTGCTTGTTACATAAATCATCAAGATTCCAAGGTTCTCTTGACGTACCCTGTTATGATCCACTGACTACCCAGGGAATAGTCAGCTGATTAGATTAATTGACATACATTTTGTTTACAAAACATTATAATAATAATACTAGAAAAATTATTCATTGATTATGTTCCTTTTAATTGTTAGTAACATTGGACTTATTGTCTTATGTCCATTAATATTGGTGTTACTGTATTCATTGACAAAAATACTGTAGACGTCTATGTTTTTTGTTTTCTGCTCAGATACATAGTATGACTTATATATTGAAAAACTAAGTATGGTAATTAAAAAATTTATTGAGTAATACTTGTTGTCTGTGATTTTGTATCCAAATATCAGGTGTTGAATTTTTATTAAAAAATCCATATTACTCCTTTTTAAGAGATCGTATATTTGCTGCCAAAATCTTGTCAAATAAGAACAATTGAAAAAATAATGATCATAATCTTCGTCTATGTTACAAAAATTACACATATTATTATTAGTTATTTTCCATTGTAATAAAAGCTTTTTTGTTGGTACAATAAACTGTAGTAATTTCCATCTGAATATTTTTAATTTATTTTCAGTTAAATATTTAAAAATAAAGTTATATAGTGAATTCATATTTGGAGCTTCTTGCATTGGTAGAATTTTAAGCCACCTGTTTATCCCTACTGACGGTTCTTTTTTATTATTCACTAGCGAATCATATAACATTTTATTTGAAAAACATGTAGTCTCAAAATAATAATAAAATCGTTATTTTGAGACTACATGTTTTTCATATCCAAAAGTTAGAAACTTCATTAGCGGTTGTTTGGATCATTACCCTAATCTGTTAATATTATACAATTATAGCCTTTGTATGAGGTCGATACAAGGGTATATTGACCCGAAAAAAGTATATTGACTGAGGACGAAATCCGAGATTGACATACTTCTTTGGGTTGGTATATCCTATATCGACCTCATACAAAGGCTTTAATAGTTATATTATTAATTTCCGACCATATTTGTATTAAAATCGTCATTGTAAAAGAGGGACAGTCAAACTCATAGATCGAAAACAAAATGACAACGTCATGGCCAAAAATAAAAAGACAAACAGACAAATAATAGTACAGATGACACAACATAGAAAACTAAAGACTAACCAACACGAACCCCACCAAAAACTGTAATATTTTCGATCATTTCATTTTATTAGAATTTTCAATATATCATACTGTCTCCTAGACATTAACAACATATTAGTTCTTATTTCATTTATTTTTTATTTTTTTGGTATAAATATCTTATGTTTTTGAAGATTTTTTTCTTCGAATAATCTATCATGAATATACAATTTTAAAAACTTATAACAATATCAATTCATAACATGACGTCACAAAGTATATCGATTTTTAGATATTCTAAAAATAACTGTGCAATATGCTTTTTGCTATCCGCCGTTTTCTATCTACCTTCGAAAATATAGTTTAAAATGTGACTATCTCTGAACGAACCAAATTAATTTAAATATACGAATACATGATATGTATACTGAATGTTTTGTAGTTTTTAGAATTTTAGTGATAGTGTCTATTATGGGTTTGGCGTATTACCGAAATGTGTATTATATTACCTAGTTAAGGTGTTATTAATTTTTGTACGGTAGCAATGTCTTTGACCATATAAGTAGAAGTGAACAACAAAAGGTCACCGTACGGCATTTAACACTGAGCAAAACGGTGACCGTACATAGTGATTTATAAAAGGCCCCGCAATGTCAAAAGTAATGTAATTCAAACCAGAAAAACTGACGAGATGATTTATGAACAAAACAAAACTAGTAAACTAAAATCAAATATGAAATTCAGCAACCAACGACAACCACTGAAAAGCAGGCTCTTGACTTACAAAGGCACACACAGAATGTGGCGAGGTTGAACACGTTTTCTGGATCCAACTCTAAATTACCTTTCATGCCGCAATTATACCTAGATGTAAAAGTACAACATGAAAACAATTTATAAATCAGATGAAAAGGACTTACCTAATATGTAATACACAGTACAAAATAATTAAGAACAAAAGATAAAAACCCTAATATCAAAAAGAAGATGAGTTATGATTGCAAATAAGACAAATCTCCACAAGAAACCAAACGACACAAAAATTATCAGCAATAGGTCAGCGTAGGGCCTTCCCCAATTACTAGTAGCAAAGCCCATATCGCAAAGTGAAGCTACAAAAGGCCCCAAACTGACAAATGTAAAACAATTCAAACGAAAAAACTAACGGCCTAGTTTATGTACAAAATAATGAACAAAAACAAAATTATAACACAGCAACAAACGACAACCACTGATGAACAGGCTCCTGACTTGGGACAGGCACAAACAGATGTGGCGGGGTTAAACTAGTTTTGTGGCGCCAAACCCTCCCAAAGCCTCAGATAGTGGTGTAACGGCACAACATAAGAGCATCCTATTCAAAACAATAAACGAGAAAAAAATTTGAGAAACAGCAAAAAATCAGCCACTCAATAACAGGATCCTGATTTGGGACAGGCACATACATAATGTGGCGGGGTATAACTAGTATGAAGGCATAAAACCTTCATAACCTAGGACTGTGGCAAAACAGTTCAACAAAAGAACGAACTATAAGAATCAATTGAAAAAGGCTTGACTAATCAGATGGATACAAATAGAAATGCATCTACCAAAAATAAAGAGTGAACGTGGACTGGTACTTGTACTTTCCAACAACAAAAAGACACAAAGTACAAATATGAGAGTACTCGCAGCTACTGACAGCTAGTTCAAAGCCAAAAATAACTTATAAGAAAACTCCTGCATAAGACTAATTTATCAATCAGTACACGTATAACATCTAATGTTTTTAGTGTAAAGACGTCATAAACAGTCAGAGAAAAACACGGCCTTGTGCAATGCCAAGATACAGGTATCGACAGATTGTAGAGTAATGACTGTGCATACGTATAGAACAATAATATGTAATTTGATTTTAATTTACTGATAACAAAGAGAACATAAATTCCGATAAACATAATGATCGTAGTTAATAAAAGCTACAATGTAGTTCAAAGCAAATAACAACTAAATTATAATTATGTAGCTTGACTAAACTATCAATTATTACGCATTCAACTTCCAATGGATTTAGTGTAAAGACGTCATAAACAGTAAAACAAAATATGACATTGTGCAATGCTAAAATATGAAACAGAATGAAAGGTCGTGAATGTACAAATGTGTATAACAAAGTTATTTTCGTTTTAGTTTTTTTTATTACAAATACATATTGTTACATGTAACACTTTAAAATAAGATTATTTGGAGAATCCCTAGGTGTCCTCATATCGTATTTAAATTTACAGGCTTGGTAAATAACAGCACTATACAAATAAAAATCCCGTGTAAAATAAGTTGATACAGCTAAATATTTCAAGCTATTTTTATACCTATGGACGAAGTTTGTATTATACAATGTAGGTGTTATGTTATTCTTTGC